TGCAACGCAAAATGTGAGTAAATCCATGCATCGGTAAGTATTTCGTCGCCGATATTTTTTCTGCATAATCTTCATTAATGTCGTATGCATTTCGGACTGTTTTGTGACTGTCCAGTTAGACTTTGATTGTGACATCAGACTATTGTACTAATGCAGAAAGCGACCTGGAACTGTGTGCAGTTACCTTACATTAAGCTTTCAACGCTCGTTTAGCATATGCTAAAAATAGAATGCGGAAATTTTAGAAGTACAAAAGCGCAAAGACGTCTTGTCGACATCGAAAACAATTGAGTAAAATGTCCATGTTCTAAAGCCTATCAAGCACGATTAAGTAGAATATCTCATGTTCCGGAGCCTATCAAGCAGAAACTATTTCATTTTTTGTTTAACGTTACTTTTAAACGAGTCATAAGCGCTCTCACATGAAGCTAGCACAAATAGCGGGTAAGGTGAACGCACTGGCACCTAATTTCTCATGATTGCATCATTTTATTGGAGTTTACTCATTGTATTAATACGATAAAGTACCTTCTGGTGTTATGCGCTTCGACTGCTCTTTGGCGTAGACGATCCGTCACTCCTTTGTTACATTTGCATTTAGTATTTTCTCCTTCATCTGGAATGATAAAAGTCATTTTTTTGATTACAACAGAATGGCCCGTAGTAAAGCTCGGTCATGAGAGATGATCTCACCTGAGGCCCTCATGTGAGTTCCGTCAAGTGCAATAACGACCGTTCACTTCCCCGTACTCAAAGAATGTAACGTCACCTGAGAGGTGAGCCCATGTGACGTCCAGATGGAAGATCTCCTCCCATGAGCTTCATGGGAGGAGATCTCAGGGATGATGTCGCGAAATAGTGTGTAGAGAGGAGAGCCAAAGAAAATTTCGCAAGTTACTCCTGAGTAACTTACGACCCAGTCAGTTCAACATGTGGAACAAATGCTTTGTGAGGTGCCACAGTGAAGGCTGATGATTCTTAACAAGATCTAACAAGTGCCGCCACATCCCTGCCGCCACAGACGCGAGTGTTTGACGAACGCGACTTGTGTACCTGCACCAACGTGAAGCACTCAATCGTATCAATGTGGATGGTTGAAATTACCAATTAATGCACAACTGAGGCAGAGCTGACTCGTCCGAGCCTTAAATGAGGTTTGCCTCAGTTGAAATCGACTAAGGTAGCTTCACTAGAGGCCAATATATTACA